CCAACCTCCTAGTTCAGGAACACGCTACTTTGGGAGCTATCTCTGGGACATTCCTTACTTGTGTCAAGGAGAAAAAACCTCCTTGTTAAATAAAACCAATTTGCATCTACTGACTTGATACCAGCCAAGCAAATGAACCTTCTAAGAAGAGACACTAAGAAAAAGGCTTCAAGGGGGCTGGGAGTAAAGCCTGGACTGCTGAAGCCAGAAGTCTGGACTGCCCATGAGAACGTGGGTATGAAGTAACCTAGATAACCAATGACCAATGGAAAGAGACCATCCATGACCAATAGGAAAGGGCAATACTACCTGGAGGTACAGAGTAGCCAGTGAAAGACTTGCCACCAATTTCAAATGGAGTGGCATTTATACCCCTCCACCAGCCTTTGTGTTTCCATCTCTCTCACCTCTGCTCCTGTCTCTTGGAAGCCTGCTACGTTTTCTCTTTGTTCCTCCTAAATAAATCTCTCTTTGTTACCCTGAAACATGTGCTGGTGACTTTTGCTTTCTATCCACACTGCCTGTGCAGCTCCAGTTTTATTTTCAGTTTCCACCCACTTTTGCTTTCAGTAACCACAGTGCCTGGGTTGAACTTTCAATCTCAGCCAAGTAATTGAAACAATGAACCAAAACCCCTGACCCCCCATCCCCTCCATTTGGGAGGTAACACCTTCATGCGAACATATATCACATAGGGTTAGGATGTGTGTTCACGTGAGAAAGACAGAAGAAAGAGAATAAAAAAGAGTATTTTCTAAGAGAGATGAAGGGAGGGCAAAAAAATGTATACTGAGGGAAAAAATACAAACAGGAAGAGAGAGGAAAAAGTGAAAAAATGTGAATGAGGTAGAGAGATAAGCTTGAAACTGAAACATGAAAACAACTACTAACTACTGGGCACAGGCATAAGGTATGTGCTATACTAAAGGTTTGATGCTGTCATTTTGTTGAATTCTCAAAACACCTTTATGAGGTAGATAATATTATTATCTCTGTTTTACAGATGAGGAAATTGAGGCACTTTAAGGAAAGAGCACAGTTCATGGCTTAATCATCAGAAAGTGACAAATTTGGGATTTGAACCCAGGTCTGTCCAGGCCCAAAGCCAAGCTCTGACTACACAACAGTCCACCACATTGTAGAGGATGAGGAAATACGCCTTCTATTATTTACTCACATTTCAGGTTGGGGCTAGTGATGTTACTTATTCAAATGCCTGAATGCAAGTTGTACTTCTAGGCCAACTGAGGACCATTATTGAGTGGTTTTTTTGTTTGTTTTTTTGAGACAGAGTCTCACTATGTCGCCCTCGGTAGAGTCAGTAGAGTGCTGTAGCATAACAGCTCACAGCAACCTCCAACTCTTGGGTATAAGTGATTCTCTTGCCTCGGCCTCCCAACTAGCTGGAACTACAGGCACCAGCCACAATGCCTGGCTATGTTTTTGGTTGTAGTTGTCATTGTTTGGCAGGCCGGGGCTGGGTTCAAATCTGCCAGCTCCTGGGTATGTGGCTGTAGCCCTAGCCACTGAGCTACTGGCGCTGAGCCATTATTTAGTATCTTAAATAAAATCATTTATGAAACAAAATTGACTGGGAGCAGTGACTCATGCCAGTAATCCCAGCACTTGGGGAGGCCAAGGTGGTAGGACTGCTTGAGGCCAGGAGTTTGAGACCAGCCTGGACAAAATATAGCACGATGATGTTTATAAAAAAAAAAAAAAAAAAA